GGCCTGCTGGCGGGGAAGCCCGCCGTGAGCCAGAGGCGGGCGGCGCGGAGCCGGGTGTTATTTTAAGTCCCAGCTGCCGGGGCCGGCTTGAAGCACGGGGAGCAGTACAGAGAGGGCTTTCTTGTGGGGGAAGGGGTCGTTATGCTCTTTATGGATGCACAGCAGAACTATTACATAAATATTAACTACGCGGTTTAATATGCATCGAGACTGTGCAAATACCTACATCGATTTCCCCTTAGCTAAGAGGGCGTAGTCAGATCACCGCGCGTATTCCAGTATGTATCCTACACACGCACACGCACACAGTATATACATCTCTGCAATCTCAAGTTCTTCGACCGTCACTTCGACGCCTCTTCTCAAAATGCGACGTGTATGACAAGAAGGACCAAAACTCTCCAGCACTGAAGCGATTGCTTTCCGCGCTTACTAAACAACGGGATTTCATTTCTTTTCCGCTTTAAAAAAAGGGGGAATTCCGTGCAAATTTTGTTAGCAAGGACACATCTCCGAACGGAGCCCGTAGGCAGCACCGGGCCGGAAGCGGGGCAGGCGGGCTTCGGCTAAGGCCCCCCGGTCCAGCAGCCCCCCTGCCCTGCCCCGCATGCCATCCGGATCCCCTGTTCCCGGCCGCGCACACCCCGTCCCTGGCCAGTGGAATGGGACCGCTAGGATCGGAGTCTGACCAATCGGCACACAGAACGGTGACCCCGCCCCCCCCGGCTGAGGCCAGTGAAGGGCAGAGCTACCCTGCCCCGCCCCTGCTCTGCCCCAGCCCCCGGCCCCGGGTCCCCGCTCAGGCTCGTGAGCGGCGCTGTGGGGACACGAGCGGGGAGCCCGGGCTGACTGACAGCCCCTCGTGGGCTGCGGGAAGTGCGGAGGTCCCTGCGGGCTCCTCCCGACAGCAGCTGGGCTCGGTGGGCAATCTGCTTTTCTCCCTCCTGTTCCTGGAGTCACCCTTAGAGCACCCTGACCGCCCCCGCTCCCGGCGACACGTTATTGCACGTGTCGCTGCTCACGCTGTGGCCATGCAGGGGGATTTCAGCCGGGCTCCAGCGCACTGCGGACAACTCCGTCCCTACCAAGAAACAAGATACCAGGTGTTATTTACCCTGTTTCTTTCCTGCTTTCCCCAGATCGGTTCAGGGCACTTGCCCCAGCCTCACAGCGCTGACCCCGATGAGCTGCCACTTACGGTTTGGCTGCAAGTTGATTTATTATTAAGCTACTTGATTCTTGGTGAAGAGCGGGACCCGCTACTCCGTCCCAGAGCGCGGTGACATCCTGTGGCCGTCCTGTGACAGCAGCTCGCAAAGCTCCCAAGGCCTGAGCGCCGGCAGCCCCCAGCGGAGGGGCCCTGGCCTGAGCCCCGCGGGGCCCGTGACAAGGGAAGGCGGCCCTCCGGCCGCAGGTCCCCTCATTTCAGACCCGCCGCTACCTACCTCTCCGTGTGCTACCGGTGCCCCTCGCTTCCGACCTGCAGCCCGCCCCCGCCAGGGCCCCTCACTCCAGAGTGACCCGGCAGGGCTCAGCCGCAGGCGCCTCCCGGCTCCCCCAGGCCGCGCTCCGCTGCGCGGCGCGCAGAGCCAGGCGCTGCGGTCCGACGGTCGAGGAGGGACTTGAAGACTCGCAGTGCGATTGGCTGGTCCCCGAGCGGTGATAGGCTGGGAAGGATGTGTAGGCAATGGCTGGGCCCGCCCTCCTCTCCGCCGCTGATCCGTGGTGGCCGCGGAGACCACTGACAGCACACGCCCCTCGCCGCACGCTGATTGGCTGTCCTGCCCTACGTGCGCGCTTCCGATTGTACACGCCCATAGGCCCGGTTCCGATCCGCCGCAGCCCCTTT